GCCGACGCGCGCGGGGACTACGGCGGCCGGCAGGCCCCGGGGCGCGCGCGGGGCATGCTGGGACTTGTAGGCCCGCGGCTCTGACGGCGTGAGCGGGGCCGGGACCACAAGCCCCAGCGGCTCCTGGGCTGCCTCACTCACCCTGTCCTGGACTAGCGCGGCCGGATCCCAGTGGGGAGTGAGCTTCTCCGCGTGCCTGGAGGGGACTGGACGGGCCAGTCTGGGTCTGCGTGTACAAACACACACTTACTTGCACGCATACTCATGCATACACACACACACACATATATACATAAGCATATACACGCGCACACACATGTACAGACACATGCACACACGTCTCCATGCACACATATATATGCACACACACACATATACATGTATGACAGACATATACACATGCATACACACAAGCCTGCACATATGGGCTATCACATGGGCACCACTAAGGACACACTTGTGTGCAAGAGCAGCATCATTTTAAAGGGGATGCCTTGGGGAGGCTCTTTGAAGTCCAATGCAATAGACCCCAGAGGTTTTCTACGGTGTTATTATTTTCTGTGCTTGGTTTTACTCTGAGAATCTGGGTCCTGTTATGGCTGAAGCTGGGAGGGTGACAGGGCCAGTGCCAATAATAGCACCATCAGATCAAGGGGAAGACAAGGTAGATAATTAATAAAGTGAGAGATTGGTTTTAAACAAACTAGATGACACATTTTGCTAATTGGGTTTTTTTCCCCATTATTACCTCTCTGACTGTGGTTTTGAGTAAAGAAGCCTTTGCTGAAGATTCGCCCTCTTACCCTTCCATAGAGAAGCCAATAGCTCATTGTGAGTATCCTTCATCCAATGAAGCAGAGCAGAGTACACATGACTTCATGTTATTTCTTAGGAAAAAAAGGAACAAGTTGGAAAAGATACTTCCTGAAGAAATTACCACAGGCATCAAACAAACCCATCTGAAATCCTGTGCTCAGGTCACCTTTCAAATCTGACCTGAACTCTTTCTAACTAGTAAAACAGACAGCTCTCCATCATACAGGCCCAGTTGCAGGTACTTGCACACACAGGTTTTTCCAAATGGCCATTTTGTTTGCTGGTGCTACCTTACCATGCTTGCTAAAAGCCATAGCAAAAGTGGCCCAGTTGTGAAACAAGTTCCTGGATTGCAACAAAGATCTAAGCTAGGAAGCTGCAGCCTGAGGTTAGCACCTTCCCAACCTGCCACTTTGTTACCCTTAACAGTCCAGTGCCTAAAGGAGTGGTTTGCAACCATTTCAGTTTCAATACACCCCTTGATAATCTCAAGGCAGCCCTTGGAAAATGCCCACTCTTAGTTTTCAGTCATTTTTTGACTATAGAAAAATAAATCAATTCTGTTGCTGCAAAGAATTCAGACCACAACAGGTCAAAATAGTTTGGACACTATGGATTCATATTTGAAATCTCTGGGTTTATCTTGTGAATCATGTTTGCACACCAAACAGTGCTGACATTGCATGGCACCTCTGAAAGGATATCAAGGCACCCCCAGGTACTGCAACACCCTAGTTGAGAATCACTGGCCTAAAGGAAGAGAAATGAAAACAACAACTGGCATTGAAAATGTCTGTGGTTTTGGCAGCCATGAGAGTGTGTAGAGAGAGGCAGCACTTTTGAGTTCAGACGTGATGCCTTTCAGATGAGAAGCTTTAGACAAAGAGTCATACCTTACAAATACCCAGATTAACTCCACACTTTGCCCTCCAGTTCTGGGGCAGGTTGGACTGGTTGGTGATATGTGTAGGGCCAGCCCCATGAAACATGACAGCTGTATCCAGGACACACCTAGTCCCTTGCTTCAGGGGAACCAGAAAAGTGCAAGAGCATTAAAACCTTGGAATAAACAGGTAAATAAAGCAAGTATCCAGATATGAAAGCCAGTTGCTAGGGTATGGGAAGAAAATGTACCTGGGCCCCAGCTGTGCAGCAATGTGGGAGGGCTCTGCACATATGTAAGCTATTCACCAGTGTGTGTTATATATATAAGCAGTCCACAGTAGATGTGAGTTAGTTACTGACCCAGCTGTAGTGTGTTCTAAAGACTCATGTTTCAGCTGTGCCTGTTGAGTCCCTGGTGTCAACCAAAATGGTAATTGTTCTCTCTCTTTCTCTGTCTCTCTGTCTCACACACACACACGTGCTTACATTAAATGAGTACATTGGGAGTGTATCCCAACAAACTGTCTCATTAACCTTGTCAGTAATCCTTCTGCTGTTCCTGTGCACAGAATTACAAAGATGGTGAAGTGGAGGTGGTTATGGCTGTGGGTAAAGGTATCAAAGAATTTGTTTTGTAGGCCTGACGTACAGTAAGTCTTCAGCCCCCAGGTGACTCAGGTGGTTGTTTTTAGCACTGTAAATGCTATGGGATCCCACAGTGTTGGCCAGCAATTCTGGAGCAGGACCACAGGCAGAGACGTAGGGCTACATTCTGATGAAAAACAGCCATGAGTCCAGACCTTCTGCATGAGGAAGGCCACCTGGAGCTCTGTGTGGATCTTGACCCAGCTCTTCAGTGGCATATAGATATGCAGATGAGAGGTAATATCAGATCAGAAAAAAATTACTTTTACTATCTGGAAGCTGGCTACCTCAATCTTCTGCAGACTAATGGTAACCAGTTTAATGTTGGCAAATCAACTCTCAGTGACATAACTATGAAGGTTTGAGAGGCAATTATTGTTGATTCATACACATGTGGTGGCAATTGCTAACATCCCAAAATAGCAGCTGGCTTTGAGATGATGGGCTTTTTGAACTGGGCTGGGGCCGGTCATTGCACATGTGACTCCTGTCTACCCCCACAAGATGCTCATGAATATAGCAGCCAGAATCACAGACTTATAGAAAAGCAGGGATACTAGTCTATCATCCTTCGTGAGGCAGGATCATTCCTATCCAACCATGCCATTAAAATCCATTGTCTCACCTATTAGCAAAATTACAGTCAAACCTGGCACAATTACAAGAAATAAATCCTAACCTGCCACAGGTAAAGTAGGAGGACCACAGCAGCCAACATTTTGCTGCTACAAAGGTTATTAAAACATACTTGAGAGAACCAAAATAGTGGGTACACACCCAACTACAGAAGAAAACAAAACCCACCACAGTCCATGCCAATATAACCATAGGGTAAAAATTCCTTCCTGACCCCAAACATGGTGATCAGTCTGACCCTGAGGCAGGGGAAAGATCCTCTAGCTAGGAACCTCTGCTTTTAAGTACCAGCAGGAGCACTGGCACACTCCACTCAAAATCCCCAGCTTCTGAGGGAGGCAGAAAAAATCCTGATGCATGTAGCAGCAGAAGGGGAAAAAATTCCTTCCCAGCCCCATATGGCAGCCTGCAAAGCCCAGAAGCATGGGAAATACCAATAGTAGAATACAAGCATAGCAGATATCTGATGCTTATCAAACCTCTTCTGGACCACCTCCAGTGATGGAGATTCCACAGCTTGCCTAGACAGTCTATTTTGCTACTTCAGTGCTTTAACAGTGAAGAAATTTTTCCTGATATCCAACCTACTTTACTGCAACTTCAAGCCAATGATCTGCATCCTGCTCTGAAGCGAGAGAAGAGATGCTTTTCCTCTTTTTTATGAAGCCCTTCAGATATTTGAAGACTGATCTTCAGATATTTGAAGGATACAGATGGTTCATTAAATAGGCCTAATTGATTGCAGATGGAATTTCAAGCACAATAACTTTCTCAAGGAGCTGATGTTTACACACTTGGATAGCAGGATCTTGATTCCTCCCAGTAATCTGGATATTAAGGAGGAGCCTACCTCCACTGTCACTTTAGGAGAATTGGCCCATTCCCTGCTGTCCGGACTTATGATGTCCAAACCATATTCTAGAAGACCCAGTAGAAGCAGCAGTTATTGCAAACTGGTGAGTGGCAAGATTGTAGTGGAATGTGCCTTTGGCTGACTGAAGGCAACATGGTGCTGCCCACAAACCTGTTTGGATGTGAATGGGCCCATAGCCATTCCTGCACTTAGGGTGTACTGTACATTGCCTAGAATGTGTGAGGGGAAGGAGGGAGGTAGCAGGTACCCTGGCCAGGAATGGGCCAGTGCTTATGCTGGTTTAGTGACCTGTTACAAACAGGCAGAAAGTGCATCACAGGGCCTGGGTGCAAGAAAGGGAAGTAAAGGATGTCCTTGTTTTGGAGAAAGACGTGGGAGAAAGGAATAATGAGTGCACACCATTAGTCAGTTGTATCTATTTATGGATGAGAAAATCAATGTCATGTATT